TATATATATATATATATATATATATATATATATATATATATGAGGAAATATAGTTTTAAGGTGTGGTATATTTATGGGATAAAGTGCTCAATACCAAAGATAGAGCATATGTAAATATAAATGAAAAAGTGAACATTGAAGACAACACTTAGAGGTGACATATTGTTTCATGCTAGACGACATCGTCACGGCGGCCTGACGATTGCGTCTAGCACCAAACAACCTGTCGCCTTTGAGTATTGACTTCAATGTTCACTTTATTTTTATATATATATATATATATATATATATATATATATATATATATTGAATATTAATGACCGCCGCCAACGACGCGATTGAATCCCAAATTTCATTGTCGATAACTCCAAAACAGTACATTTTATCAAATTTATCAAGCCAGATTCGAATGGAGCATGTACAATTACATATAAATGTAAGTAGTCTGGAAATTTTGAATGCTAACTGAGTGCGGGTGTTACACTGCAAATTAACCAAGTAGACAACGACTTCATTAAAATAGTTGACTAATTTGTTTACATCTGACTAAAATAGTGATGCAAATTCCTCGCAATATTTTAACAAGTAAACCTCAGGCCTCATTAAACAATCCGGTTTCCATAATTTAACATTATCTGCTGTTAATTGTAATTAGGCTGAATATTTATTGCTTCTTGAACGTAAATCTAGCACAATTTAATAAGAGGTTATCTTATTTTAATTATTAGTTTCCTTAGATTTTCTTTAAATACACTCTTCGACACCGTAATTATCAACACTGAACGTTTAGTCAACAGTTTTATGCATGCTGTTGTCTTCTTCCAAGATAAAACATATCTGTGAATGGGAGCCATATTATATTAATTTAATCCTGAGAATAGCTTAAAGGTTATGTAAAAATGAAACGCGTGTTTATTCCGATAACAAAATAATTCACGCATAATAAAACAACGGTTTACAAAAGTCACCGCTGTTTGTTTTCGGTATAGCCAAACATTTAGACTAAGCAAAACTGAAGAATCATTAGTTGATGTTGCTGTTATTATTATTATTATTATTATTATTATTATTATTATTATTATTATTTTTTTTTGATTTCTGGCGTTTACACATTTCTGTCCGGGTCCCGCCCAAAAAATCTAAGGTTAGAAATGGCATCATGACTTTTTACAAAAAAAAAAAAAATTACATAGATAAAGCCCTTCGTAAAGTGTGGGCTGTACTTGTCAGAAGAATTTTTGTATCTCCTTGAGGCATGAACTTCCAGGAATCCCTTCAATTAGTCTACTGGAATCTTTTCCAACCAGTCCTAGGGTTCCAACTACAGCAGGGATTGTTGATGTTCCCATATGAAACATTTTTGAGATTTCTATTTCAAGGTCATTGTATTTTGAGAGCTTTTTGTATATCTTCAAAAATACATTGCAGTCAGCAGGGACCGCCATATCAATAATTTTTTTTTTTTTTGTTTGTGGTCTTTAATAACAATATTTGGGCGGTTGGCTTTGATTGTTCTGTCAGTGTGTATTGTGTGAGTGTATCCCGGTACATGCCTTCAGTAACAGAGACACTGCCCGTAAAGTTACAACAAGGGCTTCAGGAACTCAGTAGTTTTAGAAGTAGGCTCGTTGTACCAAATACGGTAGATTTTTGTAGCATTCCAATTTGGTCGGCATATTCTTAAATTTCAATGGGATGGGGCCAAGTGTTACAATCTCAGCCTTCAGTTCAGAGTAATTTCTGATCTTTTTTTTTTTAATTTTTTTTTTTTTTTTTGTCTTCAGCATTAATTATTTTGGAATTAATCTTCAGTTGTGTTGAGGACGACTATATTTGATCTTCGTTGTTATTATTATTATTATTAATTCATTTTGATCAGCATTTGTTTTGTAATCACGTTGGATCATAACAAATGAACCTGTGGCAAGCGAAGGATGTGACCTTTTGTTGTTTCTAAAAGACAGCTACTAACAAAAAAAAATGGACAGAGCACTTCGCAGAATATATTGATTTTCTGAGCGTAGCTTAGATATGGTGCAAGGCCAAAAGTATGGAATCACTCAGTAAGGTTCGAACCCGCTTTTCAGCTGTAATTGAACTAATGAGACAAGCATGTTAAACATTACACCACGTCGAAGACCCCCCCTCTTCGCAGGATATGGGCTGTACTCATTAAAATTATTTGGGAGGTACCCTGGTGAGATGGCGCATCGGGGATTTTGTTGGCTTGTTCAAACCGAATTCATAAATAATTACATCGGTCACAAGACTACATGCCTATCCAGACGACTTATGTTACACCTATCCGACCACAGCTTCATTAAAACCCATTTAAACACAGTAACAAACTGATCAGACTCCATCCGAAACATACTAGTAGAAAATACAAATATAATAATAACCTCATCCACATGAAAAAAAATGTATATAAAAATAATGGAAGCCTTAATAATAAAAAAGAAAGCGCCCACACTCAATAGCATTAACAACGAACACGGCCACAATGCGTTGTGTTCGGAAAATAAAGCATCCTTATAACTCTAGAACCATACACACAACCTATACACCCAATTAAAAAGCAAAAATAAAATTATCCTTAATAATGGCTAAAAGTATAACCGAAAGCCCTCGGAATTACAGAACATTTTGACAGTTTGTACAGACCGTGTCTAAAAAAGAAAACACTTCTTAGAACACAAGAAAAATTAAATAAAAAACTCAATCGCACTACCTTGTCTGTCGTCTTTAATAAAAACATGTGTAAATGAAGGATTGCTGTTATATATATACATATATATATATATATATATATATATATATATAATAAACATATATAAGTATATATATATATATATATATATATATATATATATATATATATATATATATTATAAGAACATTGAAATTAACACTCAGAAGGCGACATGCTGTTTCATGCTGGACACAATCGTCAGGGCGGCCTGACGTTTGCGTCCAGCAAGAAACAGCCTGTCGCCTCTGAGTTTTAACTTCAATGTTATTTTTTTTATATTTATATTTGCATACGATCTATCTCTGATATTGCACTTTTCCCTTTATCCCATAAATATAGCACACCTTAAAACTATATTTCTTCATATATATATATATATATATATATTCAAGCATGGTTTGGTTAAATAATTTAGATGTATTATACCTATTTATTTTAGTTTTAACCCTTTCAAGTCCACAAATTATTTTCTTGGTGGCTGCAGAAAATTAATTAAGAAAAATTCCGAAATTTTCTTTCAAATAAATTTTAAGTATTTTAACATTTTCAAGTGTTGCAGATCTCTGGATGGGTTATGCGTTAAAACGGTAAATTCAAAATATTTTTTTACCTCTATGCAAGGGAGGTAACTTACATGATTTTTTTAAAAAGATATGTGTGCGCATGTGTGTGTGTGTGTGTGTGTGTGTGAGAGAGAGAGAGAGAGAAATTCAGATAGACTATATCTGTAAAAGGACAATAGGAATAAAGACAAAAAGGAAAACTTATGTTATCCGACGCGTTCCGTCTTGCGAGGAACTTTAACAAGCCAAACTCTTACGTTGTACTTTATTTAATTTTTTATCGATTTCACCCCAAGCAAGGCAATAAAGTCACTAAGACACAAGGGTTTATTGGGTGTGAAAGAATTAGAACAAAAACTTTATTAAGGAGGAAAGAAAAAAGAAATGTCATCTGGAAGACAGTAGAAAGGAATTGACATTGCGTTTAAATTTTTTAAGAACAAATTTCAAGTTCCATAAGCGTGAATCGCCAGAAAAGAACTATTAACAAAGAACTTACAGTTACATCTAACTAAATCAACTGTAAATTGGTGAGACCTTGTCACCAGTCTATTACTGCGCTTAAATTCAAAATATCTATCTACCATAGTATTGTGAGACCGGAACTACCTACACAATAGACTCTTCCAGGTCTATATTAAGTATGCGACACAACACTCTAGAGACAGAGTCAGCGACAGTGACAGCCGCGTACGACTACCAGTATTGGACACTAACATATAGTAAGCTCAGCTTACACTATCTCTGTAACCTGTTATTAATGTATCTTTCTTACATCTAATCCGTGTTCCGTGTTTTCCTTCTGTGGTCCCAATTTTGGCCCCACATCACATAGCCAAGATCCCATTCGAATAGTTGCAATAAAAATATTTATAGAAAAGGTACGGAGATGCAACTTTAAGTCGATGAGAAAAATGACTGAAGCCGTGACACTATATCAGGGTAAATAATATTGCTGATTCTTTCAATTTTATCAAGGATCCCTAGCGGGAGCACCTGACAATATATAACAGCAATATTCTAAGCATGGACCAATGGTAGATTTGTAAATATGCAAGACAGATTCAGGAGAGGAACATTCTCTGGTACGACACAATGATATATATATTACATAAAGTACAAAGCAAGTAACTCCTAAGGGAGTCTGCTACAAAGAAACACCGAAGAATAAGAGCTCAATGCCATATTAAATGGCAGAGCATTAATATTTCTAAATAAATGCTGTTGACATAAATATTCACTTATGGTACAAGAATGATCATGAACAAAGACTCAACATCTTTGAACAAGTATTCTAAGAAAACCTTTCTAAACCACGGAGATATGATCTTTAATTTGGATGAGAGTACTGATGGCACCTTACCTCAAATCATCGTAAAGATTCAGAATACTGAATTAACACATTCTAAACATTTTAAATACATCAGTGTCTTGATTAATTATTAACCTTTTCCAGGTGATTTAAAGCTAGTAAATACTTTTAAATAGTAAGAATTTGAGTAGGGAAACATAAGAATTATTTAGTGATGCAAGTCTTACTAATTAACCTATAGCTGGAGGAGAAGAGGTGGATTCATACCTTTCCCAAGGGTAAGTGGATATAACGAACTCAAATGGAATTCGAACTACGCTCTCCGATTAACAATTATGAGCCATTATCCGTTACACCACCCGCACATCCAAACTTCCAGCACCTAGTATTCCCAAGCGGGTCACCCATCTAGGTACTGACTAGGTCCGACGTTGCTTAACTTCGGTGATCGTATGAGAATAGATGTTCCAATGTGATATGTCAGTAAGCCTATAACAAATTTAGTATCGGAAAGAAGGAATTTGAACACAAAATAGGCTGCACTCGAATTAATTTCACATAACACCATAAGTTTCTACTTAACCAAGACGTTAACCTGTCAACTCGAGTCATGTTCTTAAATAGCCTTGTTAAATTGAAAATCTCATATGTTGTTGTAGCATACATACGGACGATAATGGGTATGCACCCATTCCCATGAATACAGTAGTAAATACTGTATGTTAGTCCGCAGTTGGAAATTCGTCTCCCTCTATGCTGGTCAAACTCTCTGTCGCTGAGCAGAGAACATCCACAGACGAAGCTGTGTCGAAGGGCAGAATTTCATCTCGGGAAATAGCTACCCGAGCCCGTTTTATACGCTGTCTACGGTGAATTTTTGGCCCAGCCTACGGGCCCTGATACCTACAATAAACTCGACCTTGTTCCACATCTGACCGCGTGGGGCAGTTTGGTAGATATCCTGCAGTTGGCGATTCATTGTAAAATTCCCTTGACTCACTTCTAGCAGTTGACTACTTCTGCTACGCACCGCTGGCGAATCTTATATGTGTTGTTCTTGTCCTAAGTATTATCGTTCATTACCAACTTTCTTGTGATTATTCTATTCAGTAACCTTCCCTAGGTTACAACATATGTATGTCAAACATGAAGTCCAACTCGCTCAGAAATGTTTAAATTATAGTTACTATATAACAGATCAATCACTAAAAATGGCTTCAAACCACTAAATGTGCGAATGAACCGAATAAAACCGAGCATGTGCCCATAAACGCCATTTAGCTTCTTATCTAAAATCTTACTTAAGCGATTAAAAAAGTTATATAAATCCCATAAATATTAAAGATTATCTTTCATCAGACTCTACTGGTGCTGGAAATATCTCAAAGTGGTTAATCACGTAATAAACCACATCACTTGAACATTTTCAAAAGAAACCACAAATACTGGCATCGCACGTAGCTAGAAGAGATAAATAATATAATCAGACTGTTAACTTACCACACAAACAAAAACAAAACATTCTTTATCCACTGTGCCGTCTTGAGGACAGCTGTATATGAATTTCTGGGTATTATAAACCTAATGTCTTCAGCAAACTTTTTACCAGTGCCCATATTGCAATTTTTGTTGTTATCATTCATTTTTTGCCAGAGCTCATATTGCAATTTTTGTTGTTATAATCACTTTTCTCTGGCACTCCTTATTACTGGTTCCCATATTGTATTTATTTCTATGCTTGGTCGGCTCAGGATATTTTTGTGGCCTAGAATACGTGCTGATTCCTTAAGTTTACGAATTTTCCAATGATGTTCTTTGTCTATGATCTCAACTTGATCCCACAGAGGGCGGTGATCTCCCTTTTCTCTCCATATGTGGTCAGTCACGCCTGATTTTTCCACTTCCCCTCGTGTTTTTTGGTGTTCTTGAAGCCTTACCTAAAGGGGGGAAGCCTGTCTCCCCTCTATCTTTCTTCCGCAACTGCACGGGATAGAGTACACACAGTTTTTAGTCATGTTCTCCTCTATGGGGTGGTCTTACTCGGGATAGATATCTGCGAAGTGTCGTCACACTTTTGAACCTGGAACTAGGACAGTCTACCACAGTGAGCGAAATAAAGGGTTCAGTTCGACATTCCAACCACCGGAAGAAGGCCGGAGTGTACAACGGTCGAAGCGTTGTGATAAACATGGCGACAAAGATGAGGACAATAGTCTGAATAATGTAAATAATGTACACTTTTAATTGTTTTTAACGAGATTTTCCTGTTTCTTAATACTTTGCTTAGCTTTTGGAAGGCGTTTTTCGCTATCCCAATGCACCATCTGATTTCGGTATTGCATTTTCCGTCCTCTGTTAAAGCACTTCCCAGATATTTAAATTGTTTTACTTGTTTGGTTTTTGTATGTTTTATTTGTAATTTGCATATTGGTTCGTTTCTTTTACTGACAACCATACATTCATTGTTCTTGAAATTGATGTTTTCGCATCGCTTCATTCAATAAATTCTGTAATATTACTTTTAGATTCATATCTGCATCTGCTATCAACACCATGTGATCAGTGTATCTCATACTGTTAAGATTGCAGCCACCAACAATGGACTTCTAATTCTCTCAAAATCGCTTCACTATATAAGTTGAATAAGTCCGGTGAGAAGACACATCCTTGTCTTACATCCATCAATACTGGAAAGAATTATACCGGTTACTGGACTGTTTTTCTAAAATCTTGCCTATAGTACTATGAACTCCTTAATACTTTCTATAACAGAGATTAAGAATAATGTTGATTTCAAAATCATTTACTCGCTATTGTGGGTGAGGAATTATTTTCCACTCTCCAACCCTTTTCCCACAGGCTAATCTTTGTGAGTTTAGCGACATCAGCTGGTTCTCAGCGCGTCACAGAAATCGCTTTAATAATTATGTATCTCGCCAAAGAAGATCAGCTTAATGGAGTGGACCTCCCAAAGTCAAATGATCCTGACAAACAATAGCACTGAATGAAGCTAGACCCCGGATTCTTGATGAATTGCTTTTTTAGATAGAGCTGGCAAGAACGCTGTTCCCTATAAGATAATGGTTCCTAGCAGCAAAAATGAGATACACCCAGAAAGACTCAGATAGCAGCAGAAGACCGCTAGCTGCCGCGCGAAAAGAAAGACACGCTCGCTAATTGCTTCTGCCCCCACCCCTGGAACTTTCCCACACCTCTGAATCGCTCTTCTACAGAAGAAGGTTACAACCGAATAAAATTTTCTTACTGTTACAATCTCGTCTCATTGGTTTATTTCGTAAGTAATTTGCATATTGGTCCGTTTCTTTTCCTGACAATCATACATTCATTGCTCTTGAAATTGATTTTTAGCCCTTTCTCATCGCTTCATTCACTAAATTCTGTAGTATTATTTTTAGATTAATTTCTGCATCTGTTATCAACACTATGTCATCTGTGTATCTCATATTGCTAAGATTACGACCACCAACAATGGATCCTGGTCGGACTTTTAATTCTCTCAGAAGCGCTTCACTGTATAAGTTGAATAAGTCCGGTGAGAAGACACATCCTTGTCTTACATTCAACAATACTGGAAAGAATTATACTGGTTACTGGATTTGATAAACCTGTTTTCTTAAAAAGTGAAAGATTTTATATATTTCACCCGAAAACAGTATGGCTGTTCGGTCAATGAATGCCAATTGTTTCCTTATAGGGAAACGGCTAATATTACCAATTTTTCGTTCTTTTTATATGCTGTGTCGCTTCAGGACGTAGGCGATCATGGCTCTCCACTTCCTTCTATCCCTTATAGCTCTCAATAAATTTTGTCCCGTTGCTATTTCTCCCAGGCCATGTTCGGTCATTCACTTGCTTAAGCCCACGAGGTATGCCATACGTTGCTTTGTCTCCCTTTCCCTCTATTCGACATGTGAGTATCAGATTCTCCAAGACTTCCTTTCTCATTACGTTTCGCAGAGATTTCAGCTGCCTCTTCCTGATATTAAGTATAAAACTTCTCCTTGTTTGCATCCTCTCCCAAACCTCATCGTTGTTCACACGCTCGGTCCATGATATCCTTAGCATCCTATTACCATTTCCAGTTGTTTAAGAATCCTAATGAAATAACGATTTGCCTTAATCTTTCTTTTGTCTTGTTTTTTTTATTGATATTCTTCGTTTTAATCGAAATAAAAGCATATAAAGTCGTGTGTGTGTGTGTATATGTCTAACTCTGATCGCGTGTGTTTGTCAACGCGGAACACAACGATAACTCGGCGCCTAGTCATTCAAACGAAACCTTGATGCAAAGCCAAGAAACATTTGAACGACACATGATTAGCGGTGAATCACGCCAAGGAAACCCAGGCGAACAATATAATTAGAGTCAACGGCCAGTTTGCTCAGTTGATCTCTCATTAGACAATCGGCGATCAAGAACGCCCGCCTGCCGTAATTGAGGGGAACTCTACTCGCGTGTGATCAGCAACTCAACCACAACAAATGACAAAAACTACCCAATAAATTTGCAGGTATAAACGCGTGTTTAGCTCTGTGGTTACAGACAAGAGGTCACGTTTCCAGTTTTCGGTTTCCAGTTAAAAAGACAAGACTAACTATTAATTGTAAAAGGACAGAATGCCTGGTTATCAGCATGCGTATAACACCTGTTTCAAGTTAAGTATCACGGACGTTAAAATCAAATAGGCGCAAAAATTTAATTGTCCGTCTAGTATAGAAAATAAACGTCAGAAGATACGAAAATGACGGGAAAATACAGAAAAATGCCTTTCAGAAACTAAGTCAAATATTAAGCTACAAGAAAACGTCTAAAACCAAAGAAATACGTTGTATTATGTCTATATTTCTATATTTATTACAACGTTTCGGCCTTTCAGTATCTTTCTATATTTCAGAGATGAGGTATTATGTACACTACATTATTCGGACTATTGTCCTCATCTTTCTCGCCATATTTATTACAACATTTCGGCCGTTGTACGCTCCGGCCTTCTTCAATAGTCCGAATAATGTAATAAATAAAATACGTTGTACTGTAATAACCAGCTTACTATATAGTAAGCTGGTTATTATAGTACTACTTCTGATATGGATTGAAATATTTAACATCATTCCCTTAAAGCAGGTTTCTCGAGCCCAGCAGTGCTGTTTCCAGTATTGATGGCGGCTTCCTTCCTAAAATTTTTTTTCAAAGCAATGTGAAGCGTCAATAGCTTTATTAGACCATTATTTTCTGATCGAGTTACATGTGCTATCAATTTTAGCTCTTGCCGTTGGCGAGATGTGGTTTACCTTATTTGGTGTAATTCTTTGTTTGGGATTATGTAGCGCCAGTTTACGAGTTTCAAAGAAGGGCGGTTTTCGCTAAGACTTACAGGCTTCATTCGCTCGAAGCCATTTTTAATCATTGATCTGTGAAAGTGGTTGTATACAGCTGACAGTTTACATATTTCTGA